TGGAGGCGGCGTGCGCGCGCTCCCTGCAATCTCAGGAGCACCTGGAGACCGCGCACGCGCGCTCTCCCTCAACCCTCAGGAGCACATGGAGGCGGGCTGGAGCGCGCGCTCCCTGTAATCTCAGGAGATCCTGGAGGTGGGTGGGCGCGCGCTCGCTCAACAGCACCTGAGAAAATGCCGACAGGAGCAAAATAATATCACTTTGGTCAAGAGTAAAAGGCCTCGATAATCATGATCGGGTTAGTGAGGAACTGCACAGCCAGAGGTTGATGTGCGGTCAGCCACAGAGCACGAGATACATTGTGGGAAACTATAACCCAGCTGTGAATTCTTAAGTGATTTCGGCCCGAGACCTGTAGTAACGCCCTGTCAAGATATCGCGGCACCTTGAGAATAGCCAGAGCTCAACTGCAGCCGGTCAGTGATCTCAATCTGCATGTTCCAATGTACGAGACAAGTTGCAATGCAATGCGATATTTGCAGTTAAACCTTAACCGAGAAGCGAATGAAATCCAAAGCAAAGAAAAAACTCAAAAACTCATTTGTAAAAACGAGTCGGGATACAAGGACCCCCTATGGTCAGAAAACGATTTATCGACTTTGTGGTTAATTTGAGTGAACCAGCAGTGTTCAGTAGCTCCCAACACGAGGTATGAAATAATTGCCAACGCGCCCGCGTTTCGGAAGTACACAGCTTGTATGTTTAACAAACCATTTCGCGCTAGGTACAACTTTCTGAAGTGTCTTTTCGTTTGCTACGGAGGGAGTAGAAATCAATCGGTAGTTCACTTACCAGCTTTGCATGGGTCTTTGTAATCAATTACCTCCGCCTTTTCTTCATCATAATAATCGTAAGAGTAGTCGTATTCGAATCCACTAATCCAGTGAAGTTTCCCAGATAGACACAATCCGGTGAGTAACAGTGCAATTACATTCATTTTTAAATGTAGTTCGATTAAATACTGGTTGAGTTGATTGTGGAAGAAAATCTACTCCATAAAGTTTCGGTATGGGATATAAATATCATATATTATGTACACTTAAATAAAGTGGAAGGCAGAAGTAGACAGTGAAATCTAGGAGGGTGATACGAAGTCTAAGTTAGAGCTTCGGAGGTTAATTAATGTCAGTTTTGTAAATTGATGCGTTGTAATTTGAGTTTCTTTCTCCCCTGTTCGTTGACCTGTTAAATCCAGTCGATTTTTTTTAACCTTCAGGATGAATGAGGAGGCTGTTGTGGGAAGAAGCGTCCAATGTTCTGAACATCCACTCTGCAAAAGCACAGTAAGAGCATAATTTAAACAAAGACCTAGACAGCTTGAGCAATGATGACATCCACCACAGAGGCAGAGTGCCAGGAATAGCACTTTTCTGCTCACTTACGAAAATCCTATAGGCATATAATAGTCGTCAGCAGCCTCGAGCATCCTGCTTACTTATTCATACAATCAGGGTCATCCGGACCAGTTTGATTGGTTTTCTTGATAAAGCAAACTTCATAGTAACAGCAGCCACGTCGCGAGAAATAAATAAAAGCTAAGGTCATGGAGTGGCGAAAGACGCCGCTCTGTCTCTAGCTGAGGAGTAGAAGAGGAGACTGGCTTTCAATGATGAAACTAAACCCTAGTGAGAGAGGGAGGGAAATCCACAGCTGCTACAGCAGCTGATTGTAGTTTCTTACGAGGTGATAGTTCAGTAGAAAAAAAAGTCTCTTCCTCCAATGTCCCCATGAAACGCGGAAAACAAAAGGAAATGTGTCTTTTAACCAGTACAGTGTATATCCTGAAGTATCGTTTTTCTTCGTTTTGAATACCTCAATCTGCACACAAAAAAAAACCTACACCTGTCAAAAATAATCACTTTGCCATTCTTTATTCCACATGAATTTTCTCCCTACTTCTCCTGGTTAGGGTTTCACAAGCTTAACCTTTGATGTACATTCTGCGTGAGTTTGGACAGTGGCTGTCAGGAGGCAATTAAACTGCTGGGGGAAATACAACCAATCCTGATCTTGGCATTCATGAACATTCCAGAACATGATGTGAAGGTGCCTGTGTTGGACTGGGGTGGAACAAGGTCAGAAGTCGCATAACACCGGGTTATAGTCCAACTGGTTTATTTGAAACCACAAGCTTTAGGAGCCAAGGAGCAGTGCTTCGAAAGCTTGTGATTTCAGATAAACCTGTTGACCATAAACTGGTGTTGTGTGACTTCTGACCATTTCCAGAACAGGCAAACTTGATGTCAATTGGGAGCATAGCATGCAGTCAGTCATTCTTCTCTCCCTAGCAATGATGCCAATTGCAGTGTCCTGTCACTGTGACTACTAAGGTCAGACAACCCAGTATAGACACGTGTTTGAACCTGCCATTTTCTGAATGGTTTAACCAGTTTACACCTTAACTTAACTAATTGAGAGTCAGGGCAACATAACCACTTCAGTTCCGTAGAATATTTATACTTGAAACATTAACTCTGTTTCTCTTACCACAGATGCTGCCAGACTTGCTGAGTTTCTCCAACACTATTTATTTTACCTACTTCACACAAAGTGTACATCATTTCAGAAGTAGTAGGAACTTTCAAACAATCACAAAACTTAACAAGAATATTAAAGTCAATTTCTGTAATAGAATTAATATTTCAGATGGTACTGCTCTTGTTATAAGATGTCTTTATATAAAGGAAGAAAAGTGCATGGTGCCTTGAAAAGTTTCACAGGGCTTTAAAGCGCTTTAGGGCGATAGAAAAGTAGCATGTTATTTAAATAGAAAGAGACCTCGGATGCTGCAGTAGAGGCTGAGGTAGGTGTCCTTATACATGAATCACAAAACAGCTAACATGCATGTACAGTATGTTAAGTAATTAGGAAGAGAGATGGAATTGTGCTATTTGTGCAAAGGCAATTGAGCAAAGTGGTGAAGTTTTGCTACAATTGTACAGTGCATTGGTCAGACTACACCTGAAGTAGTGTGCATAATTTTGGATTCCTTACTTAAGAATGGATAGGTTTGTATTGACAGCAATTCATGGAAGGTCCAGAGGAGCCGGGATATGTACAGAAACTTGGGAGGAGCACATCACCAAGGTGAGACAGGAACTGCGCTTATGGGAGCATTGCTCCCGCTCCATTGCGGGTAACAACCTGGTCATCGGATGCGAGGTACTATCGGTATTGCTGCACATGGTGTAAGGTCTTTCCCATTCCCTGAACTTGTGCCTTAACAGTCAGCCAAGCTATCCTCCATTTCATCTGGAGGTCAAAGATGCACCATGTCTGCAGGAACACTATGTACTAAGCTCTGGATAAGGGGAGGAAAGACATACCCAACACTACCCTCATCCTGATGGTCATCTGTGTGTATGGTGGAAGTGTCACTATGTACTGAGGTTCTACCTGTTCCCAGTGTTGCGAAGGATGGGTCCAGCCTTAGCACCATGGAATGCTGCAAATAGTTGAAGGGCTCCATACTACCTGTGCTTCATGGAAGAGTTTGTAAAGAAAACCACCTTTGACCACAAGTCCATCAGAAAGTGGTCAGCATGTAACATCCTTGATACCCTGCGGGAAAAGGAGAGGATGGATGCTGTTGCATGGTTCCAAGAGCAGACTATCAAAGTCATTTGGCAGTATACCTCTTCACCAGAATTTTGCAACAAGAACCAAGTCATGGCTTGGCTGGTGGTGAGAAGGACATTGCCCATCAGATACTTCATGCAAGCCTGGACTCTGTTCACCACTGCATGTTGCCCTTGAAGCAGATGTGCTGGTGCAGAAACTGTCACACATCTCCTTCTGGACTTCTGGTCAAGATGGTGGCGGAGTAGTATGCTCCAACTGGAGCTCCTTCTGTTTATTTCATGTTTTTCTTCTCTTCTTTTTTTCTTTCCCCCCTTTTTCCCCCTCTTGGTGTTCTCTCCAGAGGTGGAGTGGTTAGAGGCATGGAGCGGAGCAGTCTGGAGGCATGCGCGGAGCAGGGATGGTTGTTGGACTGGGGACCGGTGCAGGCTGTCAGTGGCTTGCGAGCCTAGGCAGACCATGTGTGGAAACCCCTTGTGTTGATCTACTGAAAGATTGTAATGCTCATCTTTTTAACTTTATTCTCATTTTTCTAAATTACACTACAAACCACCCTAAGTAATATAACTTGGTTTCCTTTCTTATTCTCTATTTCTGTATTTTGTATCTAAGATCTGTACCTAGGTACTTTGTTCCTGACATGGCACCATATAGGGTGACATTGTGAAATTTTCACTGTACTCCTGTACTTCCATACTTGAGTACACATGGCAGTAAAGGATATTCTAATTCTTTGCAAAGAAGGTCTGGAGAGAGATGCACTAGTTTTTGTTAAGGTTTGTCCCTAGCAGGTCCGTGACATAGGACTTTATGCTCTATAGGCTGTTCCCCATGATGCACACTGAGACAAACAACGACTCCACCTGAAGGACCATCAAATTGTTGAATGATACTCTTTGGTCTGCCTGAAACTTACTGGTCTTCTAGTAACCTCAACAGAGTGCTGCCAACTGGCACATTCCAAAGACCAGGACTACACGCTGAGGGACACACCAAAGCCAAGGCATTTTGGGGAAAGACTGCCCTGTAAGCCAAAGTACAACAAGGGTCCGTTCAATTATCAGACCCTGTCTTTGCCTTAAAATGTATGTAAATAGTGTCCTTCATGAGTAGGAAATGCCTTTCGGTTTTGCAACTGTAGGGAATGTCAAATTCCAATGTTTGTTTTTATTTTCTTTATTGGCAAGGACTGTACAGAACTGCTTTAGCACCTCTGTACATAAAGATAACTTTTTGAATAAAGTATACTCTTGCAATATAAAAAAAAATGGAACATTCACCATGCTGACTTCTGAAATTAAGGGGTTGTCTTCTGAGGAAAGGTTAAGCAGGTTGTACTTATTCTCATTGATGTTTCAAAGAATGAGGGATGATCTTTATTTAAATGTACTAGATTCTGGATATTTCCTATTGTAGGGCAGTCTAGAACTGGGCAGCCCAGTTTTTGAAAATAAGGCTCTCCCATTTAAGTCAGAGTTGAGGAGGAATTTGTACTGTAAGGGTTATTAGTGTTTGGAATTCTCTTCCACAGAGAACAGTGGAGATTGTTCATTGAATATATTCCTGTTGATTTACATGGATTTTTAAGTGACAAGAGAGTTGAGGCTTATGGGGGACATAAGAAGGTTGGGTTAAGGAAAATCAGGTAAGCACTTATTAAAAGGCAGAACAGGCCCGATAGGAGCAGAATTATGCCATTTGGCCTATATCTTATGATTACATGCAAATAAAAATAAGCATTATCAATATCAAATGCATATATGCCATGGGGAAATTAAGTTATAGTACCTGTGAATGTTCATTATTTTGCCTTTGTAAATGATAGGAATCCACATATTTTGTTTTTCTGCCTGAAGGATTTTAAATTCAAGTACATGAACATGACTATGTATTGCACAATCTCTTCAAAGGTAATCTACTATGGCACGTTCAAATTCCCAACTCTCTGTGGCACTCTTTCTTTAGCTACCAATTTGTTCAATCATGCCCTCAGCTCTAACTTTAATGCCGTTTGCTCCACTTTCTCTCAGCCTGATCATTCCGCTGACATAGTCCTATGTTCACTTGGAATGGTTAAGGTGGGTCAGTCTTTCACCATCAGATCAACTGTATTATTTTCAAATCCTGGTCTTGTATGCAAAAGCTGCTCACTATTCCAGACTCACCTTGAAATACAAAGCTAACTGTTGGTTTCTCTTCTTTACTACAAATTGTTGTCTTAAACTCTTCTTATGCATCCTTCCAACCCTACCAACAATACGCATGAGAAACTCTAATATATGCAATAGGAGCAGAAGTAAACCATTCAGCACCTCAAACCTGTTCCAAAATTACAAGATCATGGTTGATCTGTTTGTGTTTCAAACTCCACATTCCCATTTACCCCTATACCCAATGGTAGCCTATCTAATAAAAATGTATCCACCTCTTTAAATATTTAATAACCTCACCTCCACTGCCTTCTGAGGCAAAGTTCCAAAGCTGCACAAACCTTAAAGAAAAAAAATTGTCCTCAGCTCTGTCCTAAAGGATGCCCCCTCATTCTGGACTGACCCAAAAGACAGAATTTCCATGTCCACCTGGGCAAAACTATTCATGATATAATATATTCAATCAAATCATCACTCACTCTTCTAAACTCCAGCAAAAACAAGCTCAGCCTGTCCATCTTATTCTCATTCAATGCAGCTATTAAACCTTCTCT